AAGAGGCCCATTTTTCTCCTGAGCCTCAATAGCAGTGCCTTGCTAGAACAGGGCAGTGTCTAACTTTCTCCTCCTTGCTACTCCATAGAAGCTGCCTCTATGTCTGGTGATGATAACCTTGAAGAAGACTATTTGCTTTGAAGTTTGGACTTCAGCTGGCTCAGCCATCTGCTTTGCTGTGTGAGTGGAGCCATCATCTATCTGTAGCAACAGGAAAGTAACGAGGGTGACAACAGGGGCCTTGCTTGATTCCTTCTTCCCTGTGCCCTGTCTTAATACACTTCTCTGCAGCTGCTTTCCTGTAGCTTAACTTGCTGTCAGATTGAGCCCTTTCAAGCTTTTTGTGTCTTTGTGTGTTTGTGTCTTTGGCAGGTTTTGGTGCCTGGAGAGAGGAGTCTGTGGTAGAGAGAGATCCATGAAGTCCTTTATTACGTATACAGTCTGGCTTGCTTTGGACCAAATTCGTTTTCTCCTTCCATTGGACTACCAAAAAGCGTGGGGCAGAGGGAAACAGACACATTCCCCCTACTCCAACTCCGATTTCTCCCCTCCCTTCAGTGTTTGAATACTGCTGTTCCAGGCTGTTCAGCGCCAGGCTCGGTCCCCTCTGCCAGTCATAATGCACAGTGCTGCTAGGCTGTGTCCTTTTTGAGGCTGGGAAACAGCCAGAGTTTGGTCATTGGATGTGATGATTCTGTAAACTTCTGACTCACGTTCTCAGGTGACTATGGTTAAAGGAAAGGAAGTTTTTGAGTGGTAAGCTCAAAGACTGGGGGCTCAGACTGCAGTTGAGTCAGGAGACAAAGGCAAAAATCAGCATAATTATATTAAAAGGCCTTGAAGTAAGAAGAGAATACTACCTCCTAGCCTCAATTGCTGGTGTTATTGGAGACAGATTTTTGAAACTGTGCTCCAACTAATTCTCTGTAAATTTTAGTTAAAATACAAGTAAAGGGGACAGGAAGCTCAGGAAATACTCTAAATTGCTAACATAATATCCATATGTATACATACACATGTACCTGTAGAGAACATATATAGTTCTGTTTAAATCATTTTGAGGGGATTCTTTGCTGAATAAAGTTCTCAAGAAAATTAATCTAAAACCAAATGCTTATTGAATCACAAGGTGTAAACAGGCTGTGGGAAAGTATCTTCTGAGCATAAATCTGGTAAAAACTGCCAGCCACCTCAGGTAAAACAGTCTGTCCGTGAAACAAATGTTCACCCCATGCACACATTCATATCCTTTCCCTACGGTTATTTCAGATATAACCATTCACTAAGAACCAGCACCAGTTCAGGCTGTGTGAATAAGACCCCACCTAAACTATTTGGAAGAAAAGGCCTGGATTAGGATTCTAGAAATCTGGATTCTAGGGATAGATCCCTACTGCCAACTTATTTTAACTTTAGGTAGCCTATTTCTCTATAGCATCTTTCCACTTCTGACAGTATTGGGAGGCTAGGTGAGAACTTCGAAGGTACTTGAAAGTAAATATAAACATTTAGTAATATGGGTGGTAGAAAAATGGCAAATGAAATGAACCAAGCAAGATGAACTGCATAACTTAAACCTGTATAAGACAGCATTATGTGACAATTGTTTAAAGTCTAGGGATTAGTGAGGTCTGTCTATATATTACATGGCAACTATATGTTCCCACAACCACAATTTTCAAAATTTTCTCAGAAAAATCTCAGTACCAATTAGTAGAAAGCCCTAGAGAAGGAGCAGCTCTGGTGAGCAGTTTGTGTAGTCTTGGAGGAATCCTTGAGGGGCTTTTTTTTTTTTTTTTTTTTTTTTTTTTTTTTTTGTGACTTTTCACATTGTCACACATGGGCTGCAGTGAACTCACTGAGGCGTGCTCAGCCCTGGAATTGGGGCCACCATACAACAGGGCTGTGAGGCCATTTAATCCCCGTTTCCTTAGTTCCTCAGGGGATCTTTACTCTTGAGGATAGACGTCACTTGATATCACTCACAGGACTCCCTAGTCTGAAAAATAAGTAGTGTCTCACTTCTCTCCATAACTTGTTACTGCAGGTAAAAGTCTATTCCTTTAATATGCCCTGTAAGTCTTGTCAGTTTACATCTCATTCTGATGGGCTCCTTGTCATTCTAATGCAACCCAGTACTTTTCCTGCTGTCTGGAATGCCATCTTCTATGCTACCTATTTCATCTGTTGATCTTCCCCATGAGCCGAAGCCGAGGAACCCACGCACCTTCTCTGGTTTTCTCCACATTTAAAGAGTTAGCACCTGTCTCCAGTGTGAACTGAACTATATGAATGAAAACATCTAACAAGGCCTAGTCTTTCTGAATCCCCTTTCCCTTGACCAGGTGCTCAGTAGATGGTTAGAATAAGTTGAGAAATGATTTTGGGGCAGAGAGGAAGGCAAATCCTTGGGTCCCTTCCGTCTCTTGTTCAAGTCCCTCTGTAAGTTTCATGTTCCACTCCAGCCAACCCTACTATCCCCCCAAGAAAGAGTGAACACTTGATGATTGCACTACCCTTTATTTCTAGGATGGAGGAAGGTGTCCTGAATCACATCCTGGGCCCCTGGTTCCCATGTGTCAAGGATTCCAGCCCCTCAGAGTTGGAATAAGCATGTTCAGGGAGGTTCGCTGGGCAGGTGGCCAGGGTCCCTTTCAAGGGGGTACATCATAAAGATGACATTGTCCCAGGGAGGGAGGGCAGGGTGATCTGGTCTGACCACCTCAAAGCCCATGTAGCTGAAGGCCCTCAGCAGGGCACCTGTGAAAGGATAGAACAAGTGATTAGAATTTTCTTGAAACAATACGTGTATTCCCCCAGAGATTTGATTTCCCCCACTAGAGAGTGGCCCTGGGGAGCAGTGTAGTGCAGGCATAAAGATGTGCTTTAGAGTCAAACAGACCTAGTCTTTCACCCTGGCTTTAACACTTAGCTTATAATGTTCTATGAGTTAATCCTTCAGTTTTCTCATTTGTAAAATGGAAATCCATAGCCCCTTCCTCACAGAATTTAAGATTAAATGGGATGTTTATGAAGTGCTTAACACAATGATAGCATAGTAAACTCTTAAATGGCATCTATGAATGGTTATTGACTATCCTTTGTTTTATATCGAACAGAGTATAAACTTGGGGGAAGAGGTTATAGTTTCTATAACATATGCTCCAGGCATCTGGTTAAATATATTCTTGTTTTGGCCTTGCCCAACCCTTCCACACTGTAGGTGCTCAGTACATTTGAGCCCCTTTTTGTCCTGCTGACCACATCCCTTTGAATGGATTTTGTGTAATTTCACCAGTGCTCCTTCAGTCTGGCCTCTAACACCACCTGCAAGGGGCTTCCCGATAGTCTAGTAACTTAATTTCCTTTATGATGGGAGGCAAGAAGAGAAGGGGGAAGAGGGTCTCCTACAAAGGAAAAGGAACTATCCAGCTGCCTCAGCACGAAGGACAAGGGAGGATAGCCAATCCCCACCTCTGTCATTCCGATCATTTTGGAAGTTCACAAACACGGAGTCCACGTTGGTCTTCTCCTCCACATACTCCAGTGTTGCGGTCAAACTAGGGGCCAGAGAGAAAAACACAGTTAATGAAATGTTCAGCCAACTCAATCCAGAAAGACACCCATTTGGAGCAGAAGAAATCTTTTTTGCCCTCCTGGATGCCCCCAAGCCAGGAAATGAAAGTTGCTAAACTAGTTTTGGTAGATTTTTCTCTGAAGCCAAGGGATTGCACACTACTGGACTAAGACATAAACCACAGAATGGGTCTAGGGAGAAGGAACTGCTCTGTTGAGATGAACAACTAGAAAGTACTTTGACTCATTCAACTATTTCTGGATTCCCACTTCTGTATTTGAGTCCAGCAACTTCCCATGGACTTGTTCCTTGAGCCCCAGATCCTGGCTCAGTTCATAGGCTTGTCTGTATGCCAGTTGAGTGGTCTGCATGTATCCAGTTCCTGAATCAGCCCCACTTACTGATTATGACATAAGGGTGAAATGCCCTGCCTCTTCCCTCCCCACAGTCCCACAGGCTCAGTCACCTCTCCCGGTTGCCTTGATCCAAGGCCCGATATGGAATATCCAGGAAGAGTCGGTGGTCACAGAGAAGGCCGTGCCAATGGGCAGAGGTCTGGGGGGTGAGGCGGAAGTGGAAGTCTAACTGTATTGGGTCCTGGTGGAGCAGGGGGTCAGTAGCCAGCACCGTCAGGTTTCCAGCCTGGAAAAGGAGTAAAAATGAGAGCAATAGTCTCCTATGTGCTCATCTAGTTCTCAATCAGATTTCAGGCAGATCTGTGTCTGTGGAAGCAAGCGGGGGTTGATGGGGGGAGGGCCCCGGGAGAATTGGAGCCAAGGTCTTGGAGATGCAACAGTATCCCTTAGTCCTAGGAACTAAGAGCCTACCCTGTTATGTAGCTCTCCTTGATTCAAACGATCTGGACTCTGGAGCTGAGGCAGTATTGCTGCCTGCTGACCTCACCACAGGAATGCAATAACCACTTAGAAACGTAAGATGTTTACAGAGCTTATTGCTTAAACAACGTGCTGCTATCCATTTCCTTTCTTGCTAATAATACTCTTCCACTTTTTTCATCATAATGGTTTTCTCTTAATTCTTCCATTTCTCACTTAAAATGCAGAAGTCACAACCAAGCATGTTACTGCAGTATAATACAAGGGCATGTGCAAGAGTTCTGGATTGTAGACCCAGCCTAGCATCAAAACAGCTTTATGGGGCCGGGCGTGGTGGCTCACGCCTGTAATCCTAGCTCTCTGGGAGCCGAGGCGGGCAGATTGAGCTCAGGAGTTCGAAACCAGCCTGAGCAAGAGCGGGACCCCATCTCTACTAAAAATAGAAAGAAATTAATTGGACAACTAAAAATATACAGAAAAAATTAGCTGGGCATGGTGGCGCATGCCTGTAGTCCCAGCTACTCGGGAGGCTGAGGCAGAAGGATCGCTTGAGCCCAGAAGTATGAGGTTGCCGTGAGCTAGGCTGATGCCACGGCACTCACTCTAGCCTGGGCAAAAGAGTGAGACTCTGTCTCAAAAAAAAAAAAAAAAAAAACAGCTTTATGTCCCAGAAGTCTTAACACTGCTCCGCCTCTGTCCCCACTTCTTTTCCCATCCTGCTTTCCACTACCAGCTGTATGCCCTGAATTTACCATCTCTGGGCCAGAATCCTCGTGTATAAAACAAGTAGCTTTTACACATGAGCTCCAAGGGCCCATCTGCCTCTAGCTTTCTATGATTCATTTTCCAACGAGCTAACGTCCCTCCCTGCAAGGTGTCATTACAGCAAGCAAAGAGCTGCCCTGTCACAGTCCACTTACCGAGTACAGTTCTTTAAGCTGGTTGTTGTTACCCTGCTCGGTGCTTCTGCCCACCGGGAGGCCGGCTGGGGACTCAGGAGCACTGGAGGCAGTAACGGGGCCGGAGGGTCAAGTCCTCCTGTTCCTTATAAGAGATGCTGGTTGGGAAAGAGACCCAAATTAGTTTATCTCAGAATCTGTGGTGGGGAGAGATTCATAACTTCCAGGTATACAGGACCAGGCTCTGGCGCTATCTGTATCTTGTGTGGACCAGCCTGTTTCCACGTTCCCAGGCCAGGCAGAAGAAAAAATTCTACTAAAGTCTCATGCCAGCCATCCACCCTATTTTGCTATTATCACTTCTTGCCATTTGGGAATTCCTTTCAAATTCTTTTCTTTTTCCTTATAGTTTATCCAAACAACTACAAATGGAGATGAAAACAAGTACCTTTTATAACAACAAGGCAGCATCTTCTCCCGGAGGGTGATCCGGTATTTGTAACAGTAAAGATAGTAGGCAAATGGTGACCAGATCGGGTAGAGGTAGTTCCGTGTTTTTCCCCTCTTGATATAAGAAAGGGAGTAGAGAGAGGGGCGCCACCTGTTACAAGGCAGTTTTTCAGTTCAGTGCCTCCCTGCGGCAAAGTGAGGTTCAGAGATGGGCAGCAGAGTTTAGGCAAACTGGTGTCATTGTGACTCAGTGGGCACTATGACATGGACAAGGTGTCAGCCCTTATGTCACTTCAGAACTCCACTCTGCTGCTCCCCTACCCCCTTAACCCAGGCTCATATTCAACTAGTATGCACTTCACAGCTGTATAGTGGTTAACACACAGTACTTTAAAACTTCTGTACTGGTTGGCAAACAGCCTTGCCTTAAGCACTTGTGCCTACCTGCTCTGGCTCTGGGGACACTCCCCTTCCTCCACAATCTAGCAACTAAAGAGTTGGTGTTTGACACTGCAGGAGGCTTCCAAGGCCCTGATCCAGTGTTGAGCTTTAGTTGGTTCCCTGTTCCCACCAGTTCAATATTTTTATTATCGTCCCTACCCTTAATAACCCAGGGGTGCTACAGATTGTTGAACTTTCTCTATTGCTTTGTAGGGTAGCAGTTGCAAACTAAATGCCTTCAGGGTTTTTAGCTGGGGGGAGGGGGCAATAGCAAAATGGAAAGCTCACACCCTGTCTAAAGCCGGCCCAACTCAGCTCCATCCAGCTGGCATGCGGGAATGCAGACTTGGTGGTGCCAGAGCATATGATTTTTCAACAGAAACTGGAAAGACAGAGTTTTGTGGCAAATTTCTCTAATTTTTAAAAAATATTGGCTACTAACTCAAAAAATAAAAACCGATGATAAAAAAAATCAACGTTGTGAGCAAAATTTGGTTGTGGGGCCACCAGTTTGACATCTCTGCATATTTGTTTATTCATTCTTTCAACAAACATTTATTGAGGGCCTACTGTAATGAGCCAGGCACTATTCTAGATGCTTGGGATACATCAATGAACAAAATAGGTCCCTGCCCCATGGGACTTACCTTCTAAAAGTGAGAGAACCTAGAAAATAAACATAATAAGTAAATTATTTAGTATGTTAGAAGATAACTGCTATGGGGCAAAAATAAAGGAGGATCAGGAGCATGAAGGGGATGGGGCAGGGCTGCAGTAATAAATAGGGTGATCCAGTGGGCCTAACTGAAAAACTGACGTTTAATCAAAGACTAGAGGAGAGGAGGTTGTTAACCAGATCAGCATCTGGGGATAAGGGCATTCCATGCAAAAGCAACTGCCAGCACAAAAGCCCCAAAGAGGAAATCTGCCTGCTGTTTTCATGAAACAGCAAGGCGGCCACTGGGGGTAAAGCAGTGTAAACCATAGGGTGAAACTAACCTGGGCAGATTATATAGGGCCTTGTAGACCACTGTATGGCATTTTTCTTTTTCTCTGAGTAAAGGGTGATGTCATTGCAAAGCTTTGGGTGGAAGAATGACATGATCTGACTTATGCTTTTTTTTTTTTTTTGAGAGATTCATCGCAAAGACTGAGTTATGCTTTTAAAAAGATCATTCTGGTTGCTATGTTATAAGTAAGCTGTAGAGAATTTATTATAGAAAATTAAAGGAGATCTGTTAGGAGACTATTGCAGTAATACAGGAGAAAGATAGTGTCTTATTCCAGGATAGAGCCATTGGAGATGGTGGCAAATGGTTGGATTCTGGAAATAGAGATGCTCCTTGACTTAGTGAAGTTACATCCTGATAAACCCACTGTAAGTTGAAAGTATCCTAAGTCAAAAATGCATTTAATACATCTGATCTACTGAGCATCATAGCTTAGCCTAGCCTACCTTCAATGTGCTCAGAAAACTTATGTTAGCCTACAGTCGAGCAAAATCATCTAATACAAAGCTTATTTTATAACAAAGTGTTGAATATTTCATGTAACTTGATGTTCTACCCAATGTGTATTGCTTTCACACCATTGTAAAGTCAAAAAATTGTAAGTCAAACCATTGTAAGTTGGGGCAAATCTGTAGTTTAAAGGTAGAACCCACAGGATGTCCTGATGGAGTATGAGAGGAGTTAAGGTGAGTCCAGAACTGAAAGAATGGAATTTCCACCAACTGGGGTGGGAAAGGATGCAGGTGGGGCAGTTTGCAGGCAGGGGGCATAGATCAGTTTAGTTTGGGATATGTTAACTTTGAGATGTCCCTTACGTTGTAAGGGGAAGATGATATATAAGCAGTTGAATACTCGAGTCTGGAGTTTGGGAGAAGTCTGTTATGGAGATAGAAATTTGGAAGGTATTGGCATATAAATAGTAGCGTAAGCCATGAGAGTAAGTGTATACTGAGAAGAGTAAAGGTCCAAAGACTGAGTCATGGGGGCAACCTAAGAAGTGGAGAGAAACAAGAAATAAGCAAAGGAGGCTGTGTGAAGACTGGTGAAATCGGAAGAAAACAAAACTGGTGTCCTGGAAGCCAAGTAATATAAGTGTATTTAGGAGGAGGGATGACTGATCAGTCTGTTTAAGGGCCAAATATGATGATGCATAGAGCCTCTTTCCATAATCTCCTCTGCCAAACAGACCCTCTTTCCTCCTATTTTTATGGTCTTCAGTACTGAGACCCTCCACAGGGGGAACCGTCTGGGCCCTACGATCGTTTCCGTTTTCTGTGGCTATATCCCATGTGATTTAAAATTCCTTAAATATTAGCTTAAATACTGCAGTGTAATGATTAAGGGTTAGATGCCTCCCGGAGTTGTCAGCTTTTTCCAAAGGATCCCATCCTTCTACCACTTTTAGGTAGATTTGAAATAAGGAAAAATGAAAGCAACATTCTTCCTTCAGTATCCAGTTATCATAGAATGTCAGAATTAAAAATTGCCTCAGACAGCAACTACAGCTAAACCGAAGCCCCCACTTTAAAGATAAAATCAAGAGAAAGATAACTCCCTTGCCGGTGTCATTCACCTAACACTCATTCTATTATCAGTCAATAATTATGGGCGTCCCTCCTCCTGCCAAAAAAACAGCGAGAGAGGAGTGAGGAAAATGCGGAATCATGGAGCGTGGAGCATTTATTTCAACTCCCTTATCTCACGGCGACGTTGGCGATTCAGTGAAGCCGCAGTCCAACCCGTCCCCCCAACTCAGCCCAGACCGAAGCCGCGCCGGCTCAGGCACGCCGCGGGCAGCCCCTGTGGGGGCCTTTACTGCTGCCGAACGCCGGGGTCCTTCCTCAGGTCTCCCTCTGTGCACGGGAACATGGCGGCGCCCACGGTCACGGCCCCGGGCAGAGCTCTCCTGCGGGCAGGCGCTGAGCTGCTGCTGCGAGGGAAAGTCCGGGAGCTGCTCCGGCCGCGACTTGAAGTGGGCATCCCCCACCCGGCGCGCGACTTCAGCCTCTCTCAAAACCGGGTGAGAGCTGGGTCTGGCTTACGGGGCTGTTAAGCCCGAGTATCATTTCTGGGAGCGCGCTGAATCCAGACTGGAGTGGCTCGGTCTGGGGGGTGGCGGGGTTTCCTTGAAGTGCAGGCGGCAGGTAGCAGAGGGTGTTCTCTGCGGAGACTTGCTCACCCTTGCTTTCCTGGTTTCCAGGACACTGTCATCGTGGAGCGCTGGTGGAAGGTGCCGCTGGCTGGGGAGGGCCGGAAGCCGCGTTTGCACCGGCGACACCGCGTCTATAAGCTGGTGGAGGACACGAAACATCAGCCCAAAGAAAACCTGGAGCTCATCCTCACGCAGTCTGTGGACGGTAAGGCCCCGGTTGAGCTACTTCCTCTCTCAGGCTGGTCGTGTTCGGCATCAACTTTTTTCTGCCCTTCTTCCTCAGCTGTTTGCCTTGCTTTTACAACTTCGTGGAAATAATCAGCTCCATATGTGAAAAGGGGAAGCCTTGAAAAGCACTGTGGTTGTGATACTGGCCTCTGGCACGGAAGATTAAAGCGTGAAGGCAGCAACATTAACAGTGTGTGGGGAGAGGGGCCTGACAGTTTGTGCCACAGATACTGAAATCTGACAGGACAACTCCTCATTCTATATAGGGAAACTAAATTTCTACATCAAGTCTTAAAGAGACTAATTAACAGTCTCTTAAGTGTTGTGTCTGGAGAATATGAATTAACATTTATTTTAGGAAGAACGAGTACTGTGAGACAATAAGAGATGCTTCTCTCCTTGATCATCTTTTCTTTAGGGACTCATAGAAGTGTTCTAATCCAATGTCTCTGTTTTTCTCGTTGGTAGAACTTGGAGTCCGGGGTGACCTGGTCTCAGTGAAGAAATCTGTGGGTCGTAATTGGCTCCTTCCTGAGGGACTGGCTGTATATGCATCCCCTGAAAACAAGAAGCTGTTTGAAGAGGAGAAATTGGTGAGCTTAAAGGAAGCGCAGAGAGACTTGGAGGAATAAAACTTTAAGCTTTTCTTTAGCAACTTTCTTCCTTTTGATACTTAATTTGAAAATAAAGTAGGAACTAGGAGAAGAGGAATCCAGAAGCCTAGCATAGTAAGAGTTTGATACTACTTAACATGAGCTCTTTTTTCCTATACTTATTTTCATCTTTAACTTTCTATTCTAGCTGAGACAAGAAGGAAAATTAGAGAGGATCCAGACCAAGGCAGGTGAGGCGGTGAGTAGAAACATGGGAAGTCTTTAATTTTTGGTTACTTACAGGAGTTACTGACCTCTTCCCGAGTGTCTCCCTGATTTCCTTGAAGTTTTCTGATTGCAGACACAAGAACGGGAGAAAGGGCAAGTGTTGTGGCTGCCCTATATAACTGGTATGGAGACTTCTTGGGAGATCTGATGTGTTGCATGTAGTACCCTAGTATATTGAGGGAGGCCCCAATCTGGGCATCACAAGACCCATAGAAAAGTTTGAGATGAGGGCTGTGCCTTCAAGACTGTTTACAGGCAAGTTGGAGAGAACATATATACATGAGAAAGTGATCAGTAAGCTCAAGGCAGTAAATTATAAGAGTGCCATGGCATAATGGGTTTTGGGGTGGTTGGGGATGGCTTTTTTTCACGTGGAATTAAATTAGGCTTTCTGGAAATAGGTTTTGGTTAGGCCAGGAGGATGGGAAAAGTATTCTTAAGGGAGAAAAGATATAAGTAGGAATTTAAAGCATGTTTTAACATAGAAAGTGCACCAGTCTAGCTAAAGCAGAGCATTATGTAGTATTAATATAATATTAGGAAAGCGCCTAGAAAGGGGATTGGGGCAAGATTTGCAACACATCTTGAATTCTCAGCTAATGAATTTATACTTCATTCTGTACACAGGGAGGAACTGTTAGTGGGTTATGGGTGGGACTGAAGGGCCAGAAGTATTGGTCTATTGAAAGTCATTCCATTCTGAGATATACTAGTGACCCCCACTGATGATCCTAACTTTGACAAACCCTGTTTCTCCTGGTTTAGGAAACAGCAGTGTATAAGTGACATCTCCTTACAACATATTGCTGAAATATCTTTTGACAGCATTAGCTTTGAGACAATAAAAAGATTCTATTTTTCCCATTGATCTTCTCACCTGTCTTGGCTGTGAGGCAGAAATTATGCCCTTTTCCTGAACTCTCAGACCTTGTGACACACTAACATGTTTCCTCTCCTTCGATTCCAACTCTAACCCAGTCCCTACTTAAAATTCCTTTCAGACAGTGAAATTTCTGAGAAGCTGTCACCTCGAGGTGGGAATGAAGAACAATGTCAAATGGGAGCTGAACCCTGAAATAGTTGCCCGCCACTTCTTCAAGAATGTGAGTGTTCCCAAAGGGCACCATATCCCTGGGATTGGAAGCTCCCTCAGGGAAGTAGACCCAAGTTGATCCCTTTCTTAGGAAAGGATGTGATCATCCAGCTGGGAGTTAAGGAAAGTGTTCTTGGTTGGTTTTCAGGGGTATGGCAGGGAAATGGGTAAGGACTAGTGATGGTCACATAGAATTTAAAGACTGATAGGAAGAGACCAGCCGGGCGCGGTGGCTCACGCCTGTAATCCTAGCACCCTGGGAGGCCAAGACAGGCGGATTGTTTGAGCTTAGGAGTTCAAAACCAGCCTGAGCAAGAGCGAGACCCCGTCTCTACTAAAAATAGAAAGAAATTAATTGGACAACTAAAAATA